GTAAAGCAAGACCAACAATAACTGTGTATTCCAGTAGTTTTCTTAATTGCTTTACTTCTTTGCTCTTGCATGAATTAACTGAATGAACATACGCTGGCCAGCCACTTTAAGGTAAAGACAGCAGGGAGAAATAAGAGTAGGATAATGAGACAAAGAATCCTATTTGATAAATCCCTGGAATGACTTTAACTAAGGGACCACTGCCTTCTGTTTGTTTTTCCCTTATGAGGAATAACTTTTCTGTTCTTCCTCTGTGGTCAGTAAACATTCATTGTATTAAACACTATTCAAGTCATGCTAAGATTCTCAGAAAAACAAGAGGTGGTCCTTGCCCAGGGAAAGTTCTAGTTTTTAGTGGGAGAGACAGACACTTGAACAAGTGCTTTCAGTCTTGCTTAGTAAGTACTCTGACAGTGGTGAAAGGAGCAGAGCTTGAACGAGGTGATAAAATTGGAAAGAATGGGTGATCATCTGAGCACCCTGTGAGTCAAGAAGTTGTCAGTATGGTTTCCAGTGTGATCGGCTTGATGAGGATGGTATAATATGACTTACACCTGAAACACAGAATCAGGATCATGTTTATGACAGGAGGAAGGGGAAATCAGTTTGGGTTTTAGTATGTTTAGCATGACTCTAAGACTCAGGTAGAGACAATGTAATAGGGAAAGTGTGCCAGCTCAGGAATCATAGCATACAATGCTATAACTGTGCTGCCCTACTTGTATGTGGGCAGTAACTCCATATTGGGGTTGTGAAAATAAAAATACATGATGTATGTCCAGCACTTATCATAATGGTATGTCAGGAATGGCATGTGTAGCAGACAGTTTGTACTCAGGAGAGTTCAGAGAAGACACATTGAAGAGTCATTAACAAAGAGGCTCAAGTCATGACAGTGGATAAGACTTGTACTGAAAATGGATCCTTTTCTGGTCATGGTGAGGCATATCTGTAATCCCAGGTCCCAGGTAACAGAAGGAGCAAAAGGTTCAGACTAGGGGACTGAAGAGATGGCTCAGCGGTTAAGAGCACTGGCTACTCTCGCAGAGGACCTGGGTTTGATTCCCAGCACCCATATGGCAGCTAACAACTGTCCACATAGCTGACCTCCATGAGCATTGTATGACATGGGTGCACTTACATACATGCAACAATACACTCATACACATAAAATAATAAAATTTGGGGGCTGGAGAGATGGCTCAGCAGTTAAGAACACTGGCTGTTCTTGCAGAAGACCTGGGTTCAAGTCCCAGCACCCACATGGCAGCTAACAACTGTCCATAACTCCAGTTCCAGGGGATCCGACTGCTTTTTCTGTCCTCCATGGGCATTGCACGACACGGGCGCATTCACATACATGCAGGCAATACACACATACACATAAAATATTTTTTTAAAAAAGAATAAAATTTTAAAAATATTTTTTAGAAAAAGGGCAGGGCAGCTGGGGCTACAGGGAGACCCTGTCACTCACTCACACACACACACACACACACACACACACACACACACACACGGGCCCAAACCAGCCTGGGCTGCACAGCAAGACTCTTGCCTAAAGTCAGAATGGATCCTTGAGGAAAAATAGTGAACAGGGATGAAACCTTTGTCCAGTGTAAGATGCTGCCCATTTTTCTTTTTCCTGCTTTGAGCTGGATCTCACTGTGCACTAGTTTCAGTAGAGACGTATGGTGCACCTCACCATCTTGGGCTCTACGGGAAGCCAGTGCAGGACAGGACAAGACATAGTCTGTGCCAGGGAACTCAGAACTATGAGGGAAGACCAGGAGGGATAAAACCCAAATGAAAAATGGTGATCATCCTCCTTATAGACTAGCTTTGTAAATAGTTGTACCTTACAGAAAAGTTACATTTATGTAAGGCTTATGATTAGAGGACTGAGAAATTAGGAAGCTTTCTATTAATAGCCCTGCCCTTTAAAACCCTCTGCAGATAGACTTTTTAAAATTTTCTCTGAGATGCTGTCTGAAGTGCTACCAAATGATGTTAGCTTGAGTAGTGTGGTTGCTGTTCGATAACCTTTATTTCCGTATGTGTTCACTAATTCTCTTTTTTGTAAGAGCTCTAAACTTTGTTTCACTTGTTTAAGGAAATAAGGTAAGTGAAGGCCTTTTGTGGTCTGCTCATTGCTGTTTGGCTAAGGCCCTTGCTCCCAAGCCATGCATAGTTGGGGAGAACTAGGCAGTAGTTGATCTTGTTTGTGTTAAAGGTATCTAAATGGAAATTTCCGTTTTTAGTGTGGTAATATGAAGTCAGCTTTTGCTTGCAGGAGGCATGGCCCTAAACAAGGAAGTAAGTGTTGACTTCCAAGAGAAATCTTCATTCAGACTTGTAGGAAGCTTTCCTATTTGTGTTTTTCCTCTCTCCCCTCCTCCCTCATCCTCTCTCTTTACTGTCCCCCTCTTTTGTCCCCGTCTCCCTATCTCTTTCTTATTGGCCTTAAGCTCAGGATCTTCTGCCTCAGCTTCCCAGCTACACCACTACACCTGGCTTCTCTGTGTTCTTAAAGGTCAATATAAGATGATCAAATGTCAAAACCCCTGTCCGACCTGAGCTGTATGTTAGATCATATCTCTTGTTTCCAGGGGGCAAATAATTCACATTAAGTTTATTGTCTTAACCATGCAAATTAAGTCGTGTGTTACGTATTTAAAAATTTTTTTACATTTAAATTTTAACGTATTTGAACAGTCCTGTTATAAGCAAGAACTCTCTATGGAAGTAAATTTCTGGAGAGAAGAGAGGGATGCTAGTCAGCCTATTAAATGGTAGTTATTGGTTGCTTTGAAAGCAATAATTTCATGATGGAATATTTTTTTTATCAGTTAATAAGGGGAAAACTAAATACATCAGGAAAGTATAAAATTAATGATATAATGGTGAGCTATCCGGTTTTTTGTTTTGTTTTGGTCCTTTTGACACAGGGTCTCCCTGTAGCCACAGCTGACTTGGATTCCTTATGGAGATCAGTCTGTCCTTGAACTCACAGAGACCCACCTACCTCTGCCTCCTGAGGGCTGGGATTAAAGGCGTGCGCCACCATGCCCAAGCACACAGTTTAAAGGATTGTCCACAACCTGCTGTAGTAGCTGTAAATTAAGTTGGTACTGCTTATTTTACTTGTTTTCCCTTTAAGGTGGATGACTTTAAAATTTAAAAACTGTAGTCTTCCACATATCCCTAATCCCCCTCCCACTACCAAGACAATGGCCTGTGTGTGTGTACACTGGTATTAACAGACACACTGCATCTCACTACCTCAGACACAGGGCAACATAGGACATAGATTATGCCAGGGAACTCAGCTATGAAGGAGACAAAGTTATGACATAAGTGTGCTGGATAGCTTTAGTGTCAATTTGACACACCTGGGTTGAGGGAGCCTCAATCGGGGAATTGCCTCTATTGGACTGGCCTGTGGCCATGTCTGAAGGCCATCTTCTTGATAAGTGATGTGGGTGGTGCCACCCCTGGGCAGGTGGGCTTGTGTTGCATAAGAAAGCAGGCTGAGCAGGGGCCAGGGGAGCAAGCCAGTAAGCAGCGTTCCTCCATGGCCTCTGCTCCAGCTCCTGCCTCCAGGTTCCTGCCCTGAGTTCCTACCTTGGGCTCCCTGATGAACTGCAACCTGGGAGATGTAAGACAAATAAACCCTTTCCTCCCCAAGTTGGTATTGGTCAGAGTATTTTGTCACAGCAATGAAGAACAAACTAGGACAATAAGTAACAAATTTTCTGAGCAGGTCATCTTGCCCAGTCATCAGTGAGTGTAGGAGAATGCTTGTCACTCAGCTGAGCAGAGACACCCCCCCCAAACCCCCCATAAGAGAGAAGAGTGAGGAAGAATCCAGAGCTGGGCACACGCAGCCATTGCTGGGTGTGTGGTGGTGAGGAGAATACAGAACAGACACTGCAATTTGCAAACACTGCTTTCTTGATTTTATTTCCCTCATAGTTTACTTGATTTTCAACTTGAGATAAAGTTGGACTGAGCTGCTCACTTTGGCAGCACATACACTAAAAAGTGGGTTCCATGCAAAAAGTGCCTCTGCTTCCTCATTCCCTACACTTCTTAACCTTGCTTCTCATACCATTGGTGTTTGTGTCTCTTCAGTCTTCTTCCTTAGGATATGTTTGTATCTGAATAATACCTGTGTTGCTTGTGACTTATACATTCTCCAAAAAGATAGATGAAATTTTACGTTGACTATTAAGTAACCTCTTATGTTTGGGGACAAAACGAAAAAACTGAAAATAATACATGCAGGTTCTGGGATTGGAAAAACTTGTTTATACTACTCTCCTGGTTAGCCTTAAGTGCCAGCTTGACACAGCCTAGAGTCACCTGAGAGGGGATACCTCAGTTGAGGAATTTCCTAGATCAGGGTGGTCTCTAAGCATGTCTATGAGGGACTGTCTTGATTATTAGGTGATGTTGGAGGACCCAGCCTACTCTGGACAGACCCAGTCTTCCTCAGGCAGGTGGCCTTGGGTTCTATAAGAAAACTAAGCATGAGCCTGTGAGCGAGCCAGGGAGCGAGCCAATGAGCAGCATTCCTCCATGGTTTGTACATCAGGTTTCTGCTTGGCATTAAAAAATATACCTTATTTATTATTTTTATTTTTTTATATATATGCATGTATTGCCTGCACTTAAGTGCATTCTTGTTGTTCAATGCCTGTGGAGGTCAGAAGAGGGAGTTGGATTCCCTGTAATTGGAATTATGGAGAGTTGTTTAACCACCATGTAGGTACTGGGAACTGAACTCTGGGCCTCTGCAAAGAGCAGTCAGTGCTCTTAACCACTGAGCCATCTCTCCAGCTCCCTGCTTGATATTTCTGATGAACTGTGACCTGTAAATGTAGTCAAATAATTCCTCCCTTAAATTGCTTTTGGTCAGAGTGTTTTTATCACAGTAACAGAAGTCAAATTAAAACAACTACTTTTGAAATGAAAAATAACATCTTTTTCTTTTTCAGGTTGAACAAGTAAAATTACTTGACCGATTTAGTACCAGCAACAAGTCACTGACAGGAACACTATATCTTACAGCCACACATCTGTTGTTTATTGACCCTCATCAAAAGGAAACCTGGGTAAGGAGGACCACAGCAGGACTGTCCGCCATAGCAATAGACTGTAGACTGGGTCTCTGTTTGGCTTTATTTAGAGTATGTGTAAGAAAATGCTTAATCACTGGTTATTTATTTCAACCAATTTTTTGCTTTGTTGTTTATTTGTTTGTTTTTTGGCCTTGAACTTGCCATCCTCTGTTGTCTGTTGAGTGCTGGGACTACAGGCCTCACAGATTAACCAAAACTTTCTGTTTTCAGGTGACCCTGCCTCCCTTCTGCATCAGTGACGCCATTTATAGTATAGAATTCTATAAAATATTAGCCTCACTTATTTATGTAAATACCTGTAAATACCTTTTTGTTCCTTTTAGTTTTAAAAAAATCCGAGTAAAATATGTGCATATTAACAAATCATATGAATTGTATGAATACATGCATATTAATGTATTCTTCAGTATTTTTTTTTTCTTTGTCTTTTTTGAGACAGGGGCTCCATATAGCCCCAGCTGGCCTGGAACTCACTATGTAGACCAAGCTGGCCACCTTGAACTCAGAGATCTGCCTGCCTCTGCCTCCCGAGTGCTGGGATTAAAGGTGTGTGCCACTGTGCCTGACTTGCATTCTACAATATTTTAATGTTATATTACAGTTAGGGGATTTCATTTTTGTTACTATAAACATTGTAGTATACTTATATAAGCGTTTTGTACAGTGACTCCTCAACATAACAGCATGCTACATTTGAACTGTGTGGGTCAACTTTTATCCTGATTTTTTTGTTTTTGTTTTTAAAATTTATTTTATTTTTATTTATGTATATATATGTGGGGAGGGGTAGGCATATGTATGTGTGAATACAGGTGCCCATGGAGTCCAGAAGAAGGCATTGGATCTCCTGGACCTGGAGTTACAGGTGGTTATAAGCTGCCTGATGGTAGGTACTGGGAACTGAACTTGGGTCCTCTATAAGAGCAGTATATGTTCTTAACTGCTCCAGCGTACCCCACCCCCTTTTTTTGAAATTACAATTTGAAAAAAAACAACGTAAATCGTGTAGCATGGAAATAGTGAATAGATTAAGGACATGTTAAATATATGTCATGAATGCTTAGAATATATGTAGGTAATAATGGTCATTTTGTCATTTACTATAAAATACAAATCCATTACATGAATTTTAAATACATCAAAATTTCCATATATAGACACAAACTGTACACACCACCATTTGCAGTTGAGAGAAATGTAAACAAATGTAAACATGCAATATAAATTAAAGCTGCATAAAATAAACAGACTACATACTGTGCTACCATAATAATTTTGTAACCACTTATGTTACTATCTCAGTGAATGCAAATGTTGCAAGAATCTACTTAAAATGCTGTGGGATGCTGATCATCGAATCATGAGCAGATCCTGTTTCTCCAGGAAATTGCATAGTGCAGCAAGAAGTAATCTTCCAGCGGCCTCATGTATTTGCCACTGTATCTAATGTGTAGCACAAAATATGTGTTAATGGTTTATGTTACTGGTAGTGCTTCTAGTTAGTAGCAGGCTGTTGGCAGTGAAGTTTGAGGGGAGCCAAAAGTTATGCTTGCTTGGGTTTTACTGGGAAGCAGGTATTGATGCCCCTAAATCCTGTGATATCAAAGGGTCTACTCTACAGACATGTTGTGTGCACTTCTTTCTACATATGTATCAGAGTTTCTCTCAGACGTTTTCCTTGGACTAAGAAGACGTTGTTAGGTATTGGATAAACACATTTGGATATATTACCTCTTCAAAATGGCATTCCAGTTTACTGTCAGTGGAGTGTGGCACATTCTTCTACTTGCTCAGCGACACTGACACTGTCAACTTAAAGATTTCTGCCCATCTACTTCAGATGTGCAGTTGAGGTGTTAGCTTGCTGATTACAGAGAAGTCATCCTTTTAGATGTTGTGGTTGAGTTTCCATTACTTTTTCTGTTGGATTATCTTTCCTTTTTCTTTCTCTTTGTTTACTTTTTGTCATTCTAGGGAAGGAACCTAGGGCTTTTTATGTGCTAGGCAAGTATTCCACCACTGAGCTATATCCCCACCTCTGTCTTTTCTTGATTTTATGAAAGTTCTGGGTTTTAATTCTTTGTCAGATACATAGGTCCTCACTGGCTTTTCCCAGTGTGTAGCTTATCATTTGTGTGTTTTGTGTACATTTTTTTTAAGTTTACATTTTTAATGTTAAGGATTTTTCATTTTTTATTCATGTACTTAGTAAATTCATTAAAATTTTCTGGAGCTTGAGATGGGACCCAGGGCCTTGTGTATGCTAGGCAAGTGTTCTGTCACTGAACTCTACCCCAGCTCCTCACTCAGTCAACGTTTACTGCCATGGAGGCAGCTAGCAGAGATAATGACATATTCCTGGCCAGGCATTGAGTCATTCAGATATCTTAAGTATGGTAGCACATAGCATTTGAGACTATAAATACTGGTACTTGATGTATTGGTGACCTGAGTGTTTGGTCATGCTCTAGATATTGCACCACCATATTGCCTCAGTAGAGAAACTTGCCCTGACTACTTCTGGATGCCCGCTTGTGATTCAGTGCAAGAACTTCAGGATTGTGCATTTCATTGTTCCCAGGGAGCGAGATTGCCATGATATCTACAACTCTCTGCTGCAGCTGTCAAAACAAGGTATTGTTCTGTGGGAGAAAAGCTTGCATGCTCAGTTGTTATTTTATACTTTAAATTACAGTTAGGTTTGTGTGTACTCTAAATCCCCTCCTTGCCCCACAATGGTCTAGAAATAATTAGAAACTACTGATCTGAGCTGTAAGAATGGTGTCTAAAAAAAGGGTAATGTGAGGAAAAAGTAAAGCATTTATAGTACAGACTGAAGTAACCTTAGATTTAAATTAATACTTTAAAACTCTGTTGATAGACAAGCCACACATTGTGTGTATGTATGTGCAAGTGTTTGTAAGTGTGTGTGTTCATGTGTATATACGTGTGTAGGTGTAGATAACTTTGGGTGTCATTACTCAGGAGCCATTCCCCCTTTTTTTTGAGATGATTTCTTGCTGGGTCCTGGGACTTGCCAATTAGGTTAGGCTGGCTGGTCAATAAACCCCAGGGATCCACCTGCCTCCAACTCTTACCTCCCCAGCACTGGGATTACAAGCAAGTGCCACCAGGCCCAGCTTTTTACTTGGGTGCTAGGGTTTGAACTCAGGTCCTCATGAGTGCACAGCAAGCCTTTACTTTCTTTATTAAAGTGGGTTTCTGATATTAAGGAAACAAACTTGGAAGATGATATTAAAAATTTGAAGAAGGTCAGGCTGGGTGTGGTGGTACATACCTTTAATCTCAGCACTGGGGAGGCAGAGGCGGGTGGATCTCTGTGAGATTGAGGCCAACCTGATCTACATAGCAACTTCTATACCAGCTGTGGCTACAGAGAAACCCTGTCTCAAAAAGACTATATATATATATATTAGCTTAAGGAAGGTCAAGGCCCTCTAGTAGCAGAGGGATTAAATAATATGGTTAGGGTGGAAAATAACGATAGTTAAATCCTGTTTTAGTAGATGTAGGGTTGAGAGAGAAATAAGCCCTAAAAATGAATCTTACCACTACTTGGGCTGTTAGGCTGGGTTCTGAAGTCTTTCTTCCTCTGTATCACTTCGATTACATGTTGGCCTAGATTTCAGCTGAGCAACTTAGACCCATACTGAGTGATCTAGAAATAGGTCTATGTTCTCTCTCGGCACATAGAGCCTGTTATATTGGCCCAAGTTAAGCCAGAGTGTGTAGCAAAGACGCTTCCGTGGCACTGTCCCGAGCTCTGTGTCATCTTTCCTGGTTTTGCTGGCTTATAAAAGTGAGTAATGTGATCTTACGTTCTCCTTGCCAGCCCTGGTGTGTGCGTGCGTGTGTGTGTGTGTGTGGTGGTGGTGGTGTTTTTTGATCCCTCCCTCTCTCTTTCAGTGATATGATCTCACTCTGTAGCCCACGCTGGTCTCAAACTGGGAAACCTCCTGCCTCAGTCTTGTGAGTGAGTGTTGGCATCATAAGTATGCACTACTACACCTAGCCATTTCTAGTTTTGGGTTACAGTGTTTTGTTTTATATCTCATTTGAGAAAAAGAGTAGGAAGTGTCTACTTGTGTTTTTAAATTTTAACCTTTAAGTAAAAGGGAAATAATGGAATTGAAGATTCGACATTTAAGTAACTATTGTTTGTTAGCCTAATTTTGCTGAGACATAAGTCTCAGGTCCAACATATGTCATTAGATAAAATCATTGACTTTACAGAACACAGAAAATATTAAATTCAGGTAGGTTCATGTATTTGAAGACTTTAAAGAAAAGGATGGAGGAAAAACTTTAACAACTATAAGTTGCATTTTATGGAATGTCTTTCATTTTATAGCAAGATTTGAAGATCTCTATGCATTTTCTTATAATCCCAAACAAAACGATTCTGAACGACTAAATGGGTGGCAGCTCATCAACCTTGCTGAGGAGTATGAGAGAATGGGAGTGCCAAATTCAAACTGGCAGCTGTCAGATGCCAACCGGGAATACAAGGTAATATAGCGACTACACAGAGATTCCCAGAATACGAGAGTGCCAGCAGGGCGCAGTGTCACGGGAGCTGTGGTTTGTCTTGCAATGTGCCATTCTTTCACTTCATTAGTTTAAAGATTTTTTTTTTTTTTTTTTTTTTTGGTCTTTTTGAGACAGGGTCTCCCTGTAGCCCCAGCTGTCCTGGAACTCACTGTGTAGACCAGGCTGGCCTGGAACTCACAGAGATCCACCTGCCTTTGCCTCCCAAGTGCTGGGACTACAGGTGTGTGCCACCACGCCCAGCTAGTTTAAAGGTGATTATTAACCTCATGGTTTTTGAACTGAGATGAGTAGTTTTGTTTATATTTACAGATTTGTGAAACTTACCCCAGAGAACTTTATGTTCCCCGGATAGCAAGCAAACCGATCATTGTTGGCAGCTCCAAGTTTCGGAGCAAGGGAAGGTTCCCAGTTCTCTCCTATTATCACCAGGATAAGGAGGTAGGAGCTTTTCTTCTGGTTTTTACCAATATAGGGTAAGCATTCAGATGATTAATTTTTGCTTTAAAAGGTCAATATTATAATGTTAGTAATAGAGACATGCTGGCTTTTCACTCACATTTAGAAAGTTTTAAAATAGCAGTGTCCTGAGATACATCTACTTTTTATCTTCCTTTTCCTGCCTTTTTTTCCAGTAGTTACTTGAAAATCATGGGATTGGTGAATAGATAGGTTCTTTTTTAATCGTACATGTATTTGTAGAAAGCAGATAGTTTGACAAGCCAACCACTGAAAGAGGGTGGAGAATCAAGGGTGTTTAAGGCTTCCATTTTAATAGTGAGCGCTTTAAATTTTAAGAATTCCATAACATGAAGAGATAGAGGAGGTATGTTCATACTGAGTATGGTAGCAGGGGCTGCTCTTTTTTGTATGTGTACAAGTGTACACATGTGTTGCTGGGATGGAGCCCAGGATCACCTACCTGCATACTAAGTAGGCACTCTGCCACTGAGCTACACCCTCAGCCAGTGGGAACTTACCTTTGTACTTCCTTGTGAGGTGTAGCAGAGGCACTATGTGTTCAGGGCTTTTTATTTATGTCCTCTTGGCCTCAGGAAGGTAGGCTTTGCTAACTACTCAAGAGAAGGCACAAGTTGAGAGAGACATTTCACAGCAGGTAAGTTGAGGAGTCCAGTGCCATTTTTGACTCTCAAACCTCTGTAGACTGATTTTTAAATGACCCACCCCCCTCCTGGAGACGTTTCTTTTCCCCAGGGTTCTGAAATTCCATAGTGATGTGCCCTGGTCTGTCATTTGCATTTCTGCCTGGACACTCAGATCTCAGCTTTGAGAAGGTATTTTTTCTATTTCTATGGTAATTTCTTTTCCTTTGTTAATTTTTTTTTTTTTAAGTTTTGTTAGTTGACAGGCTTTCTAATATAAACCCATTTTTGTAGATTTCTTTCCTGCTTTCCCTGTCTTTCTGCTGTGTAGGTTGGCTTCCTTAAAGAGTCCTGTTTTTGCTGATGTGTGTCGTGAGGCCTGACTGATGCAAGGGTAAGAAGGGTGGTGGAGCCTTATGCTCTGCTAGGTAGACTTGTTTAGGGCAGCATATGGCTTTACTGCCATCCATTGCTCAGCCTGTTGTCATCTTCAGGTCAGTCCTTCATAGAATAAACTTTGTCTTTAGGGTGAAGAAATATCTGGAGGTCATAACTCATCCTTATATAGGCATTCAGCCACTTCTCTTTTTAGTCACACCCCTGCTCAGACCTTCAGAGGTACCAGCTCCCGAGTGAGTCTGATTTTGCTTCTGAAAATATCTGGCTTCTTACTGACTTAGGGTTAGTAGGCAGGTCCTTTGCCCTGCAAAGTCCATTATCAATGCCACTCTGCTGCTGCCTCCCAAATGTTATTACCCTCTCTGCTGATGTTCCTTTGTCTGCTCTTCTTGTCCTTGTGACTTTATAAGCCTTGTATTCATCAGAACTTTAGTGTGATTTTGGAATGGAGCAGAAGTCAAAGGTAAATTTTAAACAGATGTTTCTAATCTACTTTTAGTGCCTTAAGTCATAGGGAGTTACCTGTTATGGCCTCATTTAACACACCTTTTATATACATTAAGTTTATTGGGAAGCCAGGCTGAAAATAGATACTCTGTGGTTTATTTAGCAGAAATCAGAAAATAGATATAAAAAGGTGTATGTGTAGCATAGGATTCCTTTAAAGAACAAAAACAAAACAAAACCTCCTGATACTCAGAACTAAGAGACCACATCTAACAGTAGAAAACTGACTCAAAAAATTCAGAAAATAAGAAAATGCTCTTGAACATTAAAAACATTGTAACAGTCCTTGGGGCTGGAGAGATGGCTCAGCAGTTAAGAGCACTGACTGCTCTTGCAGAGGACCCACGTTCAATTTCCAGCATCTACATGGCGGCTACAAACCATCCTTAACTCTAGTTCCAAGGGAATCCGAAGCCCTCTTCTGACCTTTGTGGCATTGCACAACACGGGTACACCCACATACATGCAGGCAATACACTCATACACGTAAAATAAAAATAATAAATAAAATATTTTTAAAAACATAACAGTCCTCATTTTTTATGCTACTTATAACTTTTGGTTATATTTTGTATATTTAAAATATACAAAAATATGTACTTATATTACTCTCCCTGCCCCTTAATGATACCTATTTAGAATGTTTGAGTAGAGTTAAGTTGGAGTTGGCATGGATGAGATTTGAGAGATGAATACGGTTCTAAAGCTTTTAATTTTTAAAGGAATTTTAAATATTTAATTCACTGTTTCTTACAGACATGCCTCCCCTTACAGCGAGTATTTTTCACTGAAGCTCTCTTTTATATTTTATGTCTTTATGTAAAATTTGCCGATTTCTAGCAGAGATCTACTAGTCTTTTGGAAAGTAAAAGTTCACCTGTTTGCTAATTTGAAACTTCCTGTTGTATGTGTGTTGACTAGTCTGATTTCTTTACTTGAATTTGACTGAAAGTAGCCCATAATCCATACAAAACCCACAATGCATGTGTGTCCTAAGAGCAGGCTTCTTCCTAGAATTCACCAAGTACTGCTTCTTGGCACTGGAGTGATTTTTTATTTAATTTAGATTTTTTCTTGTAAACAAACTAGGTAAGGAAACATTTAGTTTTCTTCAGAGAAGAGAATGTTGGGGTAATGTAGGCAACATCAGGATTCTCAGAAGTAGTTAAGATATCAAAGTAAATGCCTTATAACTGTCTTGCAACTTTTTTATTTTTATTTTATTTTATTTTTAGACAGGGTCTCACTGTGTAGCCCTAGCTGGCCTAGAACTTGCTATGTAGACCAGGCTGACCTTGAACTCTGAGATCCAACTAACTCTGCCTACTGAGTGCTGAGATTAAAGGCGTGTGCCACCTTGCTACCTTTATATTTGATTTTAAGACTTTGGAGCTTTTTCTAAGCTTTTTTGAGAAGTATTTTAGAGACCTTTGTATAATCTGTTTTCTGTGTTTTTAAAATTAGGCAGCCATTTGTCGATGTAGTCAGCCACTGTCGGGCTTCAGTGCCAGGTGCCTAGAGGATGAACATTTGCTTCAAGCCATTAGTAAAGCCAACCCAGCTAACCGCTACATGTATGTTGTGGATACCAGGCCCAAGGTATGTATCCTGAGCACAGTACAGTCTGTTACCTTTCTCACTTTATTGCTTTAATAGGGGTTAATAAATTTGCCCAAATGTAAGATACCTGAATCCTAGTTTTAAATTAACGGAGGCTAATGATATAAAGGAAACCAGTGCCTTAGGGATACCAAATTAGCAGACCAGTTCTCAGTGACCTAGATCATGATTGCTTTAGTCGTGTGTGTGTGTGTGTGTGTGTGTGTGTGTGTGTGTGTATGCGTATGCATGTATATGTATATATATATATATATATATACATGCAACTTGAAGATATATTAAAGCTTTTAATATTGAGAAGAAATAATTATTTTTCTTCTCTTTAAAGAATTTTTTTTTTTGTTATTGGTTTTCTGAGACAGAGTCTCCTATAGCCCAGGCTGGCCTAGAACTCACTGTGTAGGTAAGGATAATCCTGAACTCCTGATCCTCTTGTCTCTACTTCGTAGGTTCTGGAATTATAAGATTATACTACCATACCCATCTTACTATTTTTGTTAATAGAATTACACTTTATGTTAAAAATAATTTGGTCTTAATTTGAAAGATTAAAAACTAGGAGAAGTCAGGTGTGGTGGCCCACAACCTTTAGTCCTAGCACTCAAGAGGCAGAGGCAGGCCGATCTCTATGAGATCAAGGCCAACTTGGTCTCCATAGTGAGTTCCAGGCCGGGGTCGGGGGGCTACAGAGAGACCCTGTCTCAAAAAGTCAAAAGAGAGAGAGAGAGGGACAGAGAGACAGAGAGACAGAGAAAAGAAAGAATTATTTAATGTAGGAAACATTGGATTAGAGAACTGTAGTGAACAGGAAAGTAGTGTTAAGCATTTGTAAGGCTAAATTCTTACCATTAAGACTAAATAAGAATCCTTATTTCTTTCATGAACTCAGTAAACAGCTGATTCACATAGGATCCTGAAATTAAAGTAATCATTATCTTCAATGGTAACAGCTAACTTTACTTTTAATTTTTATTATAGCATCGCATGCAGAGCTGGTGGGATACACCAAAGGACATTGGCAGAATTATAGTGAGGATTTCTTCAAAAATCTGGAATGATGAGAAAATAAGAGAAAGCGATGAGAAAAAGCGAGTGAGCAATATAGAACACAAGCAATTTTAGGCAGTTTTGTGAAAGGAACCATAACCGTTTTAGAGTAATTCTCATCATTATCCAGTCTCACAAAAGATAATAGAGAATACGGAAGGCAGAGTAATTTGAGTAAATTAGGAAGTATTCAAAAATGAGAAACTGGTAATTTGATGATCTTTTATTTTGTTAAAAATAAAAGACTTTCCTAGGAGTCAAGAGCTGGTAAATGTCTACTATATGAAAATTGTGTTTCCTTGTTACTGGAGGCTTGGAATCTAACAATTCTTCTTAGGTAATATTAGATATAAAAAGTGATTATAATATGATACTTTTTGAGATGACGTCTGATTTGTAGCTCAAGATGTAATAGTTCTTATGTCATTTTTCTTTTTCTTTTTATTTATTTTTTTATTTTATGTGCATGAGTGTTATGCCTGCATGTAGGTAAGTGCGCCTGTGTCGTGCAATGCCCGAGAAGGACAGAGGAGGCTGTTGGATCCCCTAAAACTGGAATTATGGACATTTGTTAGCTACCATGTGGGTGCTGGGATTCAAACCCGAGTCTTCTGCAAGAACAGTGTTCTTAACCGCTGAGCCATCTCTCCAGCCCCTTCATTTTTCTTCTATACAAAGAATACAGATTTTTTTGAATTGCTTTTCTAAGCTTAAAATTAGTGCTAATATAGAAACATTTCTAATTTTACCTCAGTCTTTGTAGATGCTGGGTAGTGAGTCAGTAACTGCAGTTTAACTACTTATTACCAACCTGAGGCCCCATCACTGAATGAAAAACAGCTTTTCATACAGTTTAGGTTGTTTTTTATCCAAGCTCATCTGAAAGGAACAATAAATTATAGTAACATACTCTGAAATCCTACTCTGAAAGCAGTAAGCAAGATTCCTAAGGGTTTCTCTGATCAACTTGACAATAACCAAAGACTGTGGGCAGTCTGTTTTCACTCTAGAAAGCAGTTTATCTTAGGCCTGATTCTTGGAGCTATACCAGTGTAATGGGTTATATGCCATGTAAAACAGTGTCTAGGTCTCCAGTAATCTCCGTCGTGGATGGCCTTACTAATACAGAGCCACAGTTCAAACCTGATTTTCGGGGTACCTGTGGCTCTATGCTCATTTTGCAGTTGAATCTCATAGTTTGATTCTGTAAGCAGAAAGCTCTCTATCTTTGTCTGTCTTCAAATCATTTAAGATTTAGATAGGAAATATTTATTTCTTTAAATTTTGAAATGTTATAGAAATGTGGAAAACTGATAGACCAATTACCTTCTTGAACTTTTGTATTTTCTTGACTAAAATTTTTCTTACATAACCGTGTTGTCCCCTTATACTGACCTTCTTGGTGACTTAGCATGTTTACTTATTAAAAAATAGTAGCTTATTCAATTTTGATGAGTTTAAGTTCTCTCCTACCTATAAAAATGTGACTTAGTATTCTTATGACATTTTTGATAAATTAAAGATAACAGTAATTTGCTTCTAAATTTCTAAAATTTTGAATTTTAGCTGAATGCAATGGCTAACAGAGCAGCTGGAAAAGGTTATGAAAATGAAGACAACTATTCTAATATTAGATTTCAGTTTGTTGGAATAGAAAATATTCATGTCATGAGGTCCAGCCTTCAGAAATTACTGGAAGGTATGATTATTATATCTTTTAGAGAGCTTTGTGCAATATAAATATAGTGATAATCACATATAACTTAAAATTTTCTACCAGTCACATTTTTAAAAAGTAAATAGGTGGAATTGATATTTATAATATACCTAATATACTAAAGGCATTAGTAGTAGTCAGCGTGAAAAACAGAAATACATTTTCTTTCTCGCTCTGTCTCTTGCCCAGTTGCTCACTCGCAGCTTTTTTGAGACAGGGTCTCATATAGTCCAAGCTGTTCTCAAACTCACTCTGTCAGGGGGTCAGTGGCCACATTTTGGGTGGAAGGTACTACATCTCCAGTTCTAATGGTTTTAATAAAGATTGTTATTCTTAGAGATTCTTGCATAATTAATACAGCGAAGATTAATATATTAATATTAATGTATATTAATATTGTTTCTAGTAAGGAGCTTTTCTAGTCGTGATATAGAATTTTAAAAATCAAAATATAAAATATTTTAATTAAACACTTGTGTCACTTTTTTTTTTTGGTCTTTTTGAGACATGGTCTCCCTGTAACCCCAGTTGACCAGGCTGGCCTTGAACTCACAGAGATCCGCCTGCCTCTGCCTCCTAAGTGCTGGGATTAAAGGTGTGTGCCACCATGCCCAGCAACTTTTTTAAAAGGATATTGAGCATTTCTTTTAAGTCTAGGAAGGGCAGAAAAATGTCCCTGAAAGCTATTATTAATCTCCTAATAGCACATTTCATTTATATGCATTCTTTTTCAATTCTCTCCCCTTGAGAGGTCTGAAAGGGATGGGTAGGAACTCTAACCCTGTTCTAACTGAAAACTTTCCCTCCTTTTGTAGTGAATGGTACCAAGGGACTTTCTGTCAACGATTTCTACTCTGGTTTGGAGAGCTCAGGATGGCTTCGTCATATCAAGGCTGTTTTGGATGCTGCAATCTTCTTAGCCAAGGTAACTGACTCTCAATGGTTTGGGGTTTATAATGGTTGGGAAGGAATGGACTTATCCTGTAATGCTGGTATCTGCTCTTCTCAGACAACATTTACTGTTCTTTACCTCTTTAATGAAGTTCATCTTACTTTGAACTTTAAAAATGATCATGTAGCAAAAAACCAAAAAATTAAAAAAAAATTAAACTGTGTGTAGCACCTAATACAGAGGCTTGCAACCCCCAAATATTTTGAAACAGCATTTTTTTGTCTTTATTTTTTGTTAGCTTTGTTTTTGTTGTTTGTTGATTTAATAAGGCTACAGGACCAGCTCTTTATTTATGTGCTGGTATGAGGATCAGTTCTTTCTTTATAATGCAGTACCTACTGGTATGGATTTGGGGGTAAATAACCTTACTGATCTGTGTAAAAGGTGTTCTGCTATAATCTAAGTGCTCTTTTCCCCTCCTTTCAGGCCATAATGGTTGAAAATGCAAGTGTGCTGGTACACTGTTCTGATGGGTGGGATAGGACGTCCCAGGTTTGTTCCCTTGGTTCGCTTTTATTGGATTCCTACTACAGGACAATTAAAGGATTCATGGTAAGGATTTGTTCAGTTGGACCAGTGGTTCCCAGTGATTATCTATCCAGGGAGTGTTTGGCAATATTTAGAGACAGTTTTACAGGAAGGGCACCGAACTGGTAGTTCTGCTAAACACCCAGTTCTGTACAGGACAGCCCCATGTTAAAGAATTATGAAGCCCCAAATGTCAGTGCTGCTGAGACTGAGGAACCTTGAGTTAAACTGATTTTATTTGTGCCACACTTTTGGCAAAATACTTTGGGTTTAATGGTGTTGCTCCTCCACCTATCCTAAAATGTTACAACAGAACTGTTTGATATTTTCTCCCTCATTTTTATATAATAAAAGTAATGCAGCCGGGTGTGGTGGTGCACACCTTTAATCCCAGCACTCGGGAGGCAGAGGCAGATGGATCTCTGTGAGTTCAAGGCCAGCCTGGTCTACATAGTGAGTTCCAGGACAGCTGGGGCTACAGGGAGACCCTGTCTCAAAAAAAAAAAAAAAAAAAAAAAGTAATGGAGTAAAACAAAACACAAATAAGAGCACTTAAATTAAAATTACTTCTGGAAGGAACTTTCATGCAAAGCACCCCAATTAAGTTAGTGAAATAACATGGTGTCACGCTTTGCATATGAAGCTGAATTTCTGGTTGAACAGATTTTTATCCTGGATAGGACTTTATCTTTTGTCTTCTTTTGAAATATCTGATTTGTTTAACTTTCAAATTTTACATGTTGGCTTCATAATCAGTTTGAGCCTAGCCTGAGCTACATGAGACCCTGTCTTAAACAAAAGGCTACACATTTAATACATAAGGAATAATTGAAGAGATATTAGGAAGTTTTTAAAAAGTTTTTAATTATTAAACAGTGTCATGTGACAAGGGCAATTTAAAAATCACTATTTTCCCTATACTTCAGCACCACTATTAGGTCTGTACTGAATCTTGAACAGACCAAATGAAAATAAGAAAATTACATAACAATAGTTTTAGTAAGAAAATAACGTTCAGCTTACTTTGAGGATATAAGGTGAGGAGGCGTCCACATGAAATCATGTAATAAATGAGCAGGAGTGGTGGGAGGAGCAGCCGGAAGCCAGCAGAGCCCCTTTAGGAGATGGCAGGTGGCACCTGAGGGGTGGCATCAGGTGAGTGTGAAGGTAGGGGCCTGATGCAGAGGAATGTAGGGACGAACACCTGAGGAGGAGAAGGCTGGGATTGCACTTCCCTCTTTGGGTAGTGAGAGCCATCAAAGAATGTAAAAAGAGCAAGCAATAGCTTGAATGGGTTGACTTTATGAAAAGATGATTTGGCATCTCAAAGGCAGAGGGGAATGGGAATGGAGGCTGAGGGTCCAGTGTAGAGACTTTTAGGCTGACTGAAGAGGGAAGAGGCCCAGAAGTGAGGCAGCAGAGCAGCATACAAGTAGACAGCGGAATAATGGGCTCCAGGGACATTAATAAAGTAGGGCTAGTTCGAGCTAGTCACAGATTGAATGGGAATGGGGATAGGAGTCCTCTTTTAGGTTTCCAGGCTGCAGAGTCAGTGCCCAGTGGTTCCTGCTCTTCCCTGAGCTCAGAGGAGCAGGTCTGAGAGGAGTATTCTGAGTTAGGATTTCAGCATGGATGGATGGAGTGGTGGGAGGGCCTGGGGTGAAATCTGCATTCCCATCCTAAGATCACTTACCCAAGATCACAGCGTAGAGGTGACAAAACCATGGTGGAGCCTGTGCAGGTGCCCAAGAAACTGCATCCTTCAGCAGTTGTTAGGAGGTTTCAAAACATTCATCCCACTCTAATGCCCAAATAGATTTAAGACAAAACGTAGTGATCTGACAATGAGAAAAGAATGTGCTTGGTGATTGTTTAATTCAATCCTAAGGTGTATTAATACTAGGAAGTTTCATCTAGATCAGAGAGAAAACATTAGAAGCCTGTTCTCTCCTGGATAAAGTGGTACACACCTGTAGTCCCTGTACTTGGGAACCAGAGACAAGAGACTGAAGAGTTCGGCCAACCTGGGTTTCATACTGAGACCTTGAGTCAAAATAAGAAAGAAAAGATGAAAAGATAGATCTGTTGTTTTCATGGCATTATAGAGATGCCATGACCTAGAAGACAAAGAACATAGTTCATTCAGAGGGATAGGTACCAGCATTTGGATTTGAATATAAGCTCCCATTTTATTGGCTTTGTTTTTGTTTGTTTGTTCATTTGTTTTGAGACAGGGTTTTGCTTTGAAGCCCAGGCTAACCTCAAATTCTGCATTCTCCTCTCAGCCTTGTGAGTGCTAGGATTATAGGTGTGTGCTACCACACCTGCTGGTTATTGGTCATTTTGTCTTTTTTTCTTTAAGTTTTATGTAAATGATGTACAAGTAAGGCAAAAGGTTTGAAGCATCCATCCCACTCTACTGCCCAGAACTAGCTATTATTAGCATCTTAGTTTATGTTTTCCTGGGCACCCCATCCCTGCCCCACCATTTGTTTGAGGACAGGGTTTCCATATGAAGTCCAGTGTTTAGATTCATGTTTACCTGCCTTAGCCTCCTCAGTGCTGGGATTACACTTGACTTTCTTAAAAAATATATTTTATTTATATTTTTATTTATGTGTAGGAGTGTATTGCCTACTCGTATGTAAGTGCACCCATGTCATGCAGTGCCCACAGAGGTCAGAAGAGGGTGCTGGATCCCCTGGAACTGGAGTTATGGACGATTGTTAGCCACCCTGTGGGTACTGGGAATCAAACCCAGGTCTTCTGCAAAAAAGCCAGTTCTCTTAACCGCTGAGCCATCTCTCTAGCCCCTACACCTAGCTTTTCAATGTCATTTTTATATGTACAAAAATTCAGATATAATACTGGCTTACTGCATATGCTTTTTACTTAAAATATAGAAAATACAGAAAAAAAATTGTTATAAGACCATTCTGTCTTTTTATGTATTTTCACCCTTCTTTAGCAGTAGTTCTACTCCAAGTTCTGTCTTTCTATTGCCTGTACTTTTCTGATACTGGGTTTTGTTCTGCCTATAACTTTAAAGTAAAGGTATAAATGCTGTTTTTAACTAAGCAGGATTGTCACCATTTTAAGTTGAGAATAGTTTTATAGTTAAATCTACTTTTTCTTATTAGGTTTTAATAGAAAAAGATTGGATATCATTTGGACATAAATTTTCAGAGAGGTAAGTGGCAATTGTGTCTTTACAAAATTGTACCACAGTGTTTCTGTTCCTTATGAATTTGCATGTCTGATAGTTTTGACAGTACTGTGGCTTGTAATATATATGAAATAAGATTGAATGTTCCTGTTTTTTCAGTCTGGTGCCTTTGTTAATTTTCATGGCTTTTTAGATTTGGTCTGGTTTGGTTTGGTTTGGTTCTTTTGTGACCGCATCTTGGAACCCAGGCAGACCTGGAACTCCTGCTCCTCCTGTTTCTGCCTCCTGAGTACTGGGATTATGGATGTATGCCTTTATGCCCCATTCTATTGTAGTATTTCAAAAGTAACAGCTCCTTTAAAGTGGTAGTTATAAAGCTCATAGATTTATAAATGGCTTTGGTAAAAGACTGTTTTGTGATAATATAAGTTTTAGGATTTTTGATATGTATAGATTATACATAATACACATATATATTACATTGTATGTATGTTTAAGTTTTTAATACTTAAACAATGAACTTGTTTCAGAGGCATTTTTAAAAGCTTGTGCTTTCTGGGGGGCTAGGTGTGGCCATTTGGATGGTGACCCAAAGGAAGTCTCACCAGTGTTTACTCAGTTCTTGGAATGTGTGTGGCATTTGAGTGAACAGTTCCCACAAGCCTTTGAGTTCAATGAAGCATTTCTTCTTCAGATCCATGAGCACATTCATTCATGTCAGTTTGGGAACTTTATTGGAAACTGTCAGAAGGAAAGAGAGGAACTCAAGTAAGTGATTTGATGAAAGTGGGCTTTTTTCCTTCCACATTGCCAATGTCACCTAGCCAGATTATGGCTGATTTAATGAGATGTTTGACAGTATGAACTAGAACTGAATTTTACTAAAGTTTTAATGATTTGTATTTCTGAAGTTGAGTACTCTACTGATGTCCCTCATCTTTCCAGGTAATAGTAAAAATGTATCTTCAAGTATATTTTGAAGTATAACAATATCTAGAAAAGTATATATGCTCTAAGAGTGCAGCTCAGTCTGTCTTACCAGACACACACACACACACACACACACACACACACACACACACCCCTATGTAGCTAGAAAAGCTTTGGTCACTAGTTTTACAGTGTGGTTAAAGGATAAACTATTGGTTTGTCCTAAAGTGAGATGGAGATATGTAGCTCTCCTTCCTGTGGGGAAATAGATCTGCTGATGTTGGCTGTCTCTGAGGGGGTCTCATGTAAGCTCCGAATGCTGTACTTGACCCCTCACCTATTCTTTTCCAACTAGTCTTGGTGGGGAGGGGATGCTGAATTGTTCATGCAGGGGAAACCTGAGGTTAGACTAAGGGGTCTTGTTTATATTTTTGGGTTTGGATTCTGAATTTAGTTTTCTTATAGTAACAGTGACATTAGAACTTCTAAATGACATAGGGAAACTAACTCTGGTTAACAAGAAAGGAGTGGAGTGTGCAGAGATGAGCAGACGAAGACCAGGGAGACTAGCTTTGTGCTGCATTGACAGTACTTAGACATAATTTGGGGTAGGGGACTTTTCTTAGGGTCCAAAACTATTTTAGGAAAAAGCTCAGTTAGTGCTAAATATCCTCAGAAATGAGAAGATGGAAATTAAAATGCCTATTGTTGTTTCTTAGAGCATACCTATAACTATGGGTCATCTTAGGAGGAGTAGTCCTCTTCTCTCCATGACCCCAGCATCTGCCCTTTACCCATGTGCTCTTAGACTTACAGTATGGCTGGTACTTAAAAACTCACATCAGGTCCTGATTTTGTGCCCACTGAAATGTACCTCTGTCTTATGTTAGTCCATCATGGCCCAGATACGGAGCTATAAGAATAAGGTCAAACAGAGCACTGCATCAGTGCCTTGTTCCAAGGTTAGCGGTCCTGTGACTTGAGAGGCATCTCTAGAGTGGACAGGTGTGAGAAAAGTGGTAGACCTGTGCTGTGCTCAAGATATTACATATATTACATATCATAAATAAAAAGAAGACAGGGAAGCAAAACTCAACCCAAGAGGCTAGATTAAAACTAAAATCTACCTTGAAAGCAGGTGTGTAGTCACAGGAATACTTTGCATCTTTCGGCAAGATCTTTGTTTTCTTATTACCTAAGGTTGAAGGAGAAGACTTATTCCCTGTGGCCATTTCTTTTGGATGACAGAAAGAAGTACTTAAATCCTCTCTACAACTCCAAATCTCAGAGATTTACAGTTTTAGAGCCAAATACAATCTCTTTCAATTTTAAGTAAGTTGGCGTCATTGAAGTGTTTATATGTGATTTGTCTTAAACACAATTTTTGAAACTTTAAAATGATTATTTTAATTAAACATTTATGGGGTGCAGTGTAATCACTGTGTACAGTTGTAATGAATACATCAGGGGAGGCAGAAGTTATCTATTTTTAAACTGTTTTCTTATGTTTTGATTAACACACAATGACTTATGTTTATAAGGCACAATGTGATATTTCAAGTCCAGTGTACAGTATGTGCTAATCAAATAAGGGAAATTAGTATTTTTCATCTTCTTATCATTACCCCATATAGTCTCTTCTCTCCTAGCTATTCATAAAACATATAATATTATGGCAAACTGTTACCACTCCATTTATTACAAGATCCTATTACTTTTATCTAATGGTGTTTTGGTACAAACTTTTTTGTTTTGTCATAAAGGTTTTGGAGAAACATGTACCACCAGTTTGATCGAACACTGCATCCTAGGCAGTCTGTTTTGAATATAATTATGAATATGGATGAGCAAAATAAACAGCTAGAGGAAGATATTAAAGACCTAGAGTCAGTAAGTATCCTGAATTGTCTAATGCAGTATATTTGGAATACTAAATTAATTTACCATATGAAAATGTTGTCCATTTTGGATTTCCATGATTACAAATGAAGTTGAGTTTATTTTCTGTGTTGTTTTCCCTTTTCTGTGAATAAACTGTTCAAACCTTTTCTTGATTTTTCTCTTGGCCCATTTGCCCTTTTTTCCTTTTGATTTGTAAGGGTTCTTTCTGAGCTAGACACTGGTATCTCAGCTATGTTTATTGAAAATGGCTTTGTCTGGCCTATTCTTCTTCACTTTATTTATAGTAAGATTTATAAAAGTGTTTTGAACTTTCACACCAAATTGAGCAATTTATGTTTCATTATGTGTGCATATTAAATCTCCTTCTACCCTAAGGCATTTCTTGGCTGTAATATATAACCAAAAAGGCTGAGTAAATAGTACGTGTTTTTGAAGGAAAAGCTAGACAGTTGTTCTTATTCAGTGAGATTGTCCTCTTTGCCTTAGAGACTGATGTCTTTTCCTTCTCAGGTGAGAAGTAATAACAGCTTGAGTAAACTTAGGGGCATGGTAATGCTAAAGAGGAAGAAGGCCAAGGAGGGGGAGCCGCACGAGACATTATCAGGAGATGAGTTCAAGGGTTTGGAGAGCTTGGTGCGCTACCAAAGGACAATTCACGTTTTCTGGAGTTTTTAAAATTTTTTTATTTTATGTCTATGTGAGTGTACCTGTGTTGTGTAATGCTGTGGAGGCCAGAAGAGGGTGTCGTATTCCCCTGGAACTGGAGTTAAGGACGGTTCTTAGTCACCATGTGGGTGCTGGGAATCTAACCCAAGTCCTCTGCAGGTAGTCAGTGCTCTTAACCCCTGAGCCATCCTCCAGTCCCCTTCTGTGTCTGTGTTTTTTCAAACAAAACAAAACAAAAACACCGTTATGTTCTGAAGCCTGGTGCGTTCACTTGGCAGCCCTTAGTAGGGACACCATGTAAGAAGCTCCTCATGGTCAGTAGGACCTTTAGCTGAATGAGTTTGTATTGTTATATATGAAGTAATCTATGAAGTCAAATATGGCTGGATTGATTAATTGATAAACATAAAAACATAACTAACCATTTCCTTCTGTAGAAATTATAAATGATTAGGGTTTTCAATCATGTCATGTTCACTACATGACATGTTACAAAAGTTTATGATTGTATATTGTATGGGGGCACATTTACAAAAGCATGTTTTCTTTACTGAACATAGATTGATCACATACTATCTGTAGTTACTAATGTTTTCTCAATTTTTGTTTTAGAAAATTAAGCAATGCAAAAATGGCATCCTTGCAAAGGAATTGCTGCATGCAGTTCACCCTGAATCACCCACTCTCAAAACCTCCCTGTGTCTGAAAGAGCAGACTCTGCTTCCCATGAACGACGCGCTTCGAACTATAGAGGGCAGCAACCCAGCAGACAACCGGTACTGTGACTATGCTGAGGAGTTCTCCAAGTCGGAGCCTGCTGTGGTCAGCTTGGAGTATGGTGTGGCGAGAATGACTTGTTAGACTCCTTCAGTATTTTCTGGACTGACTGTAGTACAAGAAATGGGAAATTGTGAGAATGGTCTATGCACCTGGCCAAAGGGATTTGTCTACTGACCTTGGGGCTTAGGATTAGATGAATACTTGAGAAAAGGATAACTGCTCTAGTTAGAGGAATATCAGCTTAATTGCTTTTCTAGCAAGGAATGATACTCAGTTCTGTAAGAAATGAGTGGAATTGGGTGGATTTACTCAAAACAATTTACATAGTACACCAGTGAACTGATGTTTCTGTTTGTTAAGTACAGCCAAGCACGAATTTAACTTGGAGAAAACAAAACCTAGCAAAGTGAAACCTTAATAATTGACAGGGCATGTACTTTCAATTGTGTAAGTGTGCAAATGAACATTTACCTTTGAAGTGCCATGAGAAATACTTCTAAGACAGCCTTAACATCTATTTATTCTTCATCTTACATTTTACAGTCTAGGACAAGATGTTTGCTTTCTCCCTTGGTCAACCTTATTTGTGCGTAAAGAATTACTCTCTTACTTCTTCAGGGGTCACACACTGCAGTATAGAAGGTTGCAGAAGTACTGTGTTTATTTCCTAGTAAGCCACCCCCTCTTCTGTATTCTAAGTTAATGCAACTGAAGGTTTTGTTCTGGTTGTCTTTTGCTTACTGTAGCAGCTAATTATTATTCACAGCATAGAGGACTGATTTCTTAGGTATGTGTAGGGACATTTGACTTCTACAGTTTACTACATTCTATTCTTATTTTGTGGTTGATTCTAATCCTCTGATAACTATGTAAGCTTAAAGAGTTAAAGCTCTAAACTGTTTTGAGTAGTAAATACATATATTTTTAAACTGCCTTATCTCTTAACAGTTTGCTATTTCTGGAATATTGAACTTTGGTGTACCTAGATACTTTTGAGTAAATAAAAAGGGAAGTACTGATAGTTGAGATTTTGCTTGGTTACGTGAATTTTAAAACAATCATTTTTATGTGGAGCATTTTTTCCCTTGTCTGTAAATATCGAAGGAAGGAAAAGGAAAACTAATGGGAGCCTAGTTAGTGTTTAACAAAGCAGCTTGAACTGCAGGAAGGGTTTTATTTTGCCTTGTCATCCTCATTGTTTACTTTGTGCACTAGGACATATCTTTAGATTAACCAACAAAAACCAACTGCAATTGGCAGTATGACCAGCTGGCTTTAAAACAGAAAGTTTAAGTACCATGGGCGGCCTGAGGTGCAACTTTAGGGTACTAAGAAATTTGCAGAGGATCCCTTATAAATCTCTTTTGTTTACCTATATATCTACTATATTAATTTTGAATGTATCCATCTTTTCCAAATGAAAGAAAACTTTATTATACGTGATTTTATCTAATCCTATTTATTTTTCCAGTTTGCTTCTGTAATACCTTATGTATTAAGAAAAGCATTGCATTTGAAATAGTGACCGAAATGTACTATAAATACAACATATGAATAACCACGTTTAGACATTGGAAAAGGAAACCTAATCTCTGTGTCCACAATGGGGAACTTGCCTTGGTTCCAATCAGGTTGTGGTTTTAGAATCGTCCATGGTTCATCTTTTTTGGTTTATTATGCTGATCTTTAACTGCTGATGTGTAAATATATGTTTACATGCCCACACAGATAACATCCAGAGTGACCTACAGGGCATATGTTGGCAAAAATCTGGGTATGTGTCTTATAAAATTGGATTTATGTTCATTGTGCTTTGGAATGTACAGCATGTAAATTATTTCACATATTATTTAAAGGCAATTAAATGTTCATGTTTCACTTTGAATGATTTTCTTTTGGAAAAAACTAATGGGATCCAGTGGTGATTGTTTTTCTTACATAGGCAAATGGTCCTGTATATTACCTTAACATAACAGTGAAGTTTTGAGCATTTCATTTTCCAAAAAGATTGTTCATAATTTCTATTAAATACAAAAATGATTTCCAAATATTTAACCCAGGCAAGTGGTAGGGAGAATCAGTAGATTCTCCAGGAAGTTCCTTTTGCCCCATCAGTAGTGTATGTTCTGAACTGTCTAGGGTGACCTTGAACTCACCAAAGATCTGCCTGCCTCTGCCTCTCAAGTGCACTATGTAGACTAGGGTGACCTTGAACTCACCAAAGATCTGCCTGCCTCTGCCTCTCAAGTGCTGGGATTAAAGGCGTGTACTACCACGCCCTGCAGTGGTGTATGTTCTGACAGCACTTGATCAGCACTTCCATTGCTGATGGAAGGCTGAATCCATTGAGTTAGATACATTCAAGGTGAACTGACCCCAGAGATAGGTCTGAAAGAGTAAACATGCTGGCCAAGAAGAGGACAGGTTGCCGGTAGTGTTTTGAGCCGGTCTGCTGGTGGAGAAGCAGTGCAGGGAATTGGGAGTAAAAAATGTGATCTCTCCCTCTCCATCCCTCTCTCATTCTGTTAACTTGATGAGCAAGGATATAGAATCAGCCTCAACCTTTTATTACTCTTTTTTGTAGGTCAGCTTTAGAATATTGAAAAATTTCCAACTTGCAGTTCTAAGTCACCTACATGATCATTTAGAATCTTTTACAGGATGTCCAACCTGCAGCCTGTTGGTTACATGCCTTATGATAGGAATGAATGCACCCCAGCACATTTGTAGGTGACAGTGTCATATTGCAGTATTAAAAGGACATCCCTGACTTTTGAGGGTGACACTTTCATTTTCATTGACAAAGTTTTAATTATTTTTACTTTTCCATGTGGAAGTGGGAAGTGTTGTGCCCAGAGAATGGACCCCCAAGAATAACCACAGAATCCAGAGGGCATGCAAGAACAAAGTCTTTATTCAGGCTTAAGCTCGGGCTCTCAGACCTCACCGACGCAGTGGATCTGTGCTGAGAGCCCCAATTGCAGGGGGTGGAAGCTTTTTATAGGTTTTAGACAAAGAATAACAGGGTTACATCTTGATTGGTCCAAAGAGCCCGCACGCGCCAACACACTTTTGAATTGATTGGCTACTGAGGATGTATCCTTGGAGGTCTCATTGGTGGGTGCTATTCTCAGTGCTGTGGAGTGTGCTGACTTATCTGTGGGGCCAGAAGTCTCTGTTTTTACCTTATAAGGCTGCTACACGCCTGGGCTTGCTTGATCTATAGCCTCCTGGGGTCGGGGGTGGTAGGTGGAGATTACAACATGCCTGGGCACGTTCAGGCCTGCCTGAAACAGCTAGTCAATATGGGGTCAATATAGTTTGTCCTTTCAGCCAAACAACCAAGCAGTTTACAGAAGCGAAAAAGAGCACTTAGTCCTAAAGAGGAGCAGGGGTCTTGGGAGTCCAGGACAAGGTGGGGGGAGGCAAGGAGGTGGGCTTCACAGAAGTCCAAGGAATGTTAGTACAGCTCAATTAAGTATGTGTACAATCCTTAAACTTTAGGATCCTCTTTCTAGAAGACAGCCTAGACTCTAGAGTAGTTAACTAAAAAGAGAACTGTATCTATCATTTGCTTGATATCTTAAAACGAGAAAACCTGGTATTTAGTAAACAATGTTATGTGACTCTATTTCCAGGAAAGTGAAACATCCTTTTGCATAGTAACAGTGGGCTACATACCTGAAAACAGCTTTCAGAGTTGATGGTTGACTCTGAAGTCCCAGTCTTAGTCTCAGGCCATATCTTCAGAATAAGAAACTATCTATAGTTGCAAGCATTGTGTAGCAACAAAGAGTAGAATTTAGCAGTATTGGTACTGCAGACCTGAGTTCAGTTCCCAACAACCATGTCAGGCAGCTCACAGACACTTCAGGAGATCAAGTACCCCTCTTCTGGCCTCCATAGGTATCTGTATGCACATGGGACACGGAGACAGACAAATGTGCATATTACATAATTTAAATTTCTTTAATTAAAAAAAAAATGCCAGCAAATAAATGCTTAAAAAAGGCAAGATTTTGGGGCTGGAGGGCACTTCCTGCTCTTCCAGAGGACCTGAGTTCAGTTGTCAGCACCCATGTTGAGCAACTTACAACCACCTATAACTCCAGGTTTTGTATATATATAACTCCAGGGGATCCAACCCCCTCCTCTGACCTCCACAGGCACCCCTCCTCACATACATATAGATACAGAAACACATAAACATTTTCAAAAAGGACAAAATTTGAAAATTGTTATTAATTTGTTGCTCTTCTCATCACTGTGATAAAACACCCAAGGAAGCAATTTAATGAAGGATTTATTTTGCCTATGGCTTGAGCAGGTGCAGTCAGTCATGTAGGGGAAAGCATGGTAGAATTCATGATGACTTGTGACTATGTCAGGAGCTTGAGGTGACTGATCGCATAATGGGGGTAGTCAGGATACGGGCATCTCCAGCTGGCAGGAACTGGGTGGGCTATAGTCCTTTAGCTCTGCTCCCCTGACCTTATGTCTGCCAACTCCACCCTATGTTCAAAACAGCACCACCAGCTGGGGACCATTTCACAATCAAACTGTAAAACATTGTAACATCCAGTGAAATACGATGGTCATTAATGGATAATCAACCATTTCTCCAAGGCAGCTTTATTCCTTTTATCAGGGAAAGACATCTAGAAACCAAACTAGACAGTAGCTTTGCTCATTGTTAACTGGAGTATCATTGCTTAGAGGGGATACAGCACCACCAGCTGGGGACCATTTCACAATCAAACTGTAAAACATTGTAACATCCAGTGAAATACGATGGTCATTAATGGATAATCAACCATTTCTCCAAGGCAGCTTTATTCCTTTTATCAGGGAAAGACATCTAGAAACCAAACTAGACAGTAGCTTTGCTCATTGTTAACTGGAGTATCATTGCTTAGAGGGGATATATAATATACACATATTTGAGTTATATAGGATTTGTGCTTGCAGATAGAAAGATGAATGGATGCAGACTTTTCTTTTTCAAATGGCTATTGTCTGAATCATTTATTAATAACTTTATCTTCTTGCCTGTGATTTCTCACTTCCATGCAGTTCTGGATTCCCATGTAGCATTAGTATCTGTCCATATAACAAAGCTATATACAGCCAAGCATGGTGGAACAAGCCTGTAATTATAGCACTCAAGCTGAGGAGCAGATTTTGAATTCAAAGTCTGCCTGGGTTACATAGGGATATCCTACTTCAAACAATGAAAACAAACTAAACACCAAAACCAAAATGCCCTGTCGTGTAGCTTTCTATTGCTGTGATTAAAGACTCTAACCAAAAACAGCTTGGGGAAGAAAGGGTTTATTTGGCTTATATGTCTTGATCACAGTTCATCCTTGAGGGAAGCAAGGGTAGGCACTCAGGACAGGAACCTGGAGGCAGGAACTGACCATGGAAGAACTCTACTTACTGGCTTGCTCCTCTGGCCTGTGCTCAGTCTGCTTTCTTATATAACCTGCGAAAACCTGCCAGGGGTGGCACCACCCACAGTGGCCTGAGCCCTCCCACATCACTCAATGATAAAAAAGCAAACAATGCCTCACAGACATGGCCACAGGCCAAATCTGATAGACACAATTCTCCAACCAAGGTTCCCCTTCCCAGGTGTGTCAGGTTGACACCTGAAACCATCCATGATACGCCCTATAGTGACAGAGCTCTATTTATCAAGGCTTCATGGTGGTCTAATTCTGTCTCATTGCTCTTCTCTCCCAGAGTCTCAGGATTCTTTTTGCCATCCTTTTTCCCATTTTGAAGCAGTCTCAACCATAGAGAAAAGTTGCCAGGACAGTAGAAGCAGCTTTCTTTCCAAACCCCTTTGAGAGCAAGATGCTGATAGGATGTTTTCAAGAGATGGAAGCAGGAGAATCCAGGAGTTCAAAGGTCAGCTATATAGTGTTTGAGGCCAGCCTGGGCTTCATGAGGCTCCATCTCAAAACATCAAAAAGATTCGGTCTAGAATGCCACGTTGAACTTGGCTGTCATATGTCTTTGGGTTCTTCAGTCAAGAAAGTTTCTTGTTTTTGCAGAATTAATGCTGTGTCTCCCCAGGAGGATATAGTTCAGTTAGTAGAGTTCTTGCCTTGTATATGTCCTACTACAGAGGATTGTTCATCCATGTGTATTACTGCCCCATTCATAATAGCAAGACCATGGACTCAGCCTAGATGTCCATCAACAGATGAGTGGATAATGAAAATGGAGTACATATACACAATGGGATCTTACTCAGCCATAAAGAAAAATGAAATTATGAAATTTGCAAGAAAATGAAAGGAACTGGAAGATATATTGAGGGCGGTAACTCAGGCTCAAAAAGACAAACACCACATTCTCTCATATACAGATCCTAGCTTCTAATTCTTTTAAAATTTTTTATTTATTTATTTATGAGTGTATTGTCTGCATGTATGTGAGTGCACCCGTGTTGTGCAGTGCTGCGGAGGTCAGAAGAGGGCTTTGGATTTCCCTGGAACTGAAGTTAAGGACGGCTTGTAGCCACCATGTGGGTGCTGGGAATCGAACCCGGGTCCTCTGCAAGAGCAGTCAGTGCTCTTAACCGCTGAGCCATCTCTCCAGCCTCTAGCTTCTAACTTTTATATATGTGTATTTTTGTGGAAGCAGGTGTGTAAAGAGTCTGGGAAAAAAGAAAGGGGGCCATGAGAAAAAGGGAAAGATTCTTTAAGGGGGAGCATTGGCAATAGAACAAATGCTATGAGAGTGGAAGGGAGAACACAGGGTGGAAAGGTTGAGTGGAGAGTGGGGACAGGGAGTTCAGAGAGTAGTGGGTACAGGTCAACCAAAACTAATGATATATGAAAAAGTCAGCAGAAATCAAATACTTGATAAACTCAT